AGGGACGGGGGCTCCGTCGTTGTTGAGTCGCATGTCGCCGGTATAGGGGGTGCCAGTTGTGGCCATGTGTCACTCCTCCCCCTTCCTCTTTCCCCAGCCTAGTGCTTTCTGGCAATGCTTCAGGTGGGACGGGCGTTGTCGGTTCCGATGGTGGTTGGACTTGGCGGAGCTATTTGAGGCCACCCCCATTGATGTTCTCAGGGTGGTCTGGGTGCAGAGCCACGGCCCTGGCGATGGGAGGCGCGTTGATTGGGCGCATTTGCGTGGCTTGGGTGCGGGCGAGCAAACATGGCCGCTTGGGCGAGTGGTTGGTGGAGCGGGGGTGCGACGGAGGGGCTCAGAGCACCAAGGTACATCACTTGCCCAATCTTTCTACTAGCCGTCGGCGGCGGCATTCGCAGACGTTGTTTCCTTTTTGCAGGCTCCACCGCGGTACTCTCACTCCCTTCGTGTTGCTATGGGTGAAAACTTGATCCATGGGATGCGATGGTGGCGGCTATCCTGGTCCTGCCCTTCTTGGAGGTGCCGTTTTGGAGTCATCGCTCCGGCGTTGGCCATCTCAACTCTCCTCGGTGGATCACCCATGTGGTGGTCCGTCGGCTAGAAGCGGTTCTTCTGTGCTCATTCGTAGTATGCTTGGTAGTCGTTGGGATGGTTTATCGGCACCTTTGTATCTTGCTTTGGGTGTGTGTATCGGTCTTCTCGAATGTATGAGGTGATGGTTGCTTTATAATATAAAGCGGGGGAGGCCTTTTTCGTCATTAGGGGATTGTGTCGTGGAGAGATAGAGAAGGCTAGAAAGAAAGAAGAAGCAAGAGTGAGAAAGAGAAGGTTAGAGAGAGAGATGCAGGGTGATAGATAAAGTGGGAAACGAGAGAAAAATATGTAATGTATTCATAGGTGCAATTGAATTAGAACAGACTAAAAAGACCGTGGCAACGCACGGGCATTATACTAGTCAGTTGTAATTTTGTACTGTAGAACCGAAGTTTGGGTACCGAAATTGTTCACAACTCACGTTCAATATCACCAGTTGTGGTTCCCGTTCATGCATGCCTTCCGCTATATACCATACAAATCACAGCAAAAATTGAATTCGCAGAACATAAAGGAGGAAACGCAGAACCCTGCGACCAGCCACCCAACACCCGCAAAAAAAAGCACCCTAAATTTGTTCGAGCTGGCGCCTCAATTCAGACGCGCCCCGCCACTCCAGCAATCGGTGCCTCCCGCCAGGTCATCAATCCGCGGCATCTCTCCCCCGGATCGCGATCTCAACCGTACACTCCATCCACATCGAACGGCAGGAAAACGCCTCCTCCCACCTCTCGCCTCCCTTAAAATCCCCTTCCCCCTCCCGGCAAATCGCACAAAACAACCACCACCGCTCCTCCAATCCCACATTCGCTCGCAGCTCGAACCAAGGAGAGACCGTCAGCCATGTCCGGGCGCGGCAAGGGAGGCAAGGGGCTCGGCAAGGGCGGCGCCAAGCGCCACCGGAAGGTGCTGCGCGACAACATCCAAGGCATCACCAAGCCGGCGATCCGGAGGCTCGCTCGGAGGGGCGGCGTCAAGCGCATCTCCGGCCTCATCTACGAGGAGACCCGCGGCGTGCTCAAGATCTTCCTCGAGAACGTCATCCGCGACGCCGTCACCTACACCGAGCACGCCCGCCGCAAGACCGTCACCGCCATGGACGTCGTCTACGCCCTCAAGCGCCAGGGCCGCACCCTCTACGGCTTCGGCGGCTAGGCTCGTCCTCACCTCCGTGCAAATTCCGATGTGCTTATCCCCCTGTGCGCCGTAGTCTCGCTGTCCAGAAAACTTAGCTGAAATGAGTTCCCCATGTTTATCTCCGCTGTTTCCTTCGTAGGATTAGCTGTATCGTCAAACAAAGCTGTTCGCATCTGAAGTTTGAATCCAATCTTGTGTCTACGCAAATATTGTGGTTGTGGTTTTGCTGTGATTTTTACTGCTGCGCTGTTGCAATTGTGGTGTGTCGATTGTTCCTTCTGTAGCGCAAGATCTGGTTGCTAGTACTGAATTACAGAACGAAGTTTCCAGAATTCAGTCTGCATTTCGGACATTGTAGATTTGCCTTTCTTGAACGGGTCTGCGACGTGAACTATCTATAATGACTGAATCATGTGGTTCGTGTCGGTAACCAGGAAAGGCCATTTGCTCTATTTCCAAACATCACTGTGGAAATGTTTTCATTGGATGAAATATTAGCAGCAATAACATTTTCAAACCTAGGAACACTTCATCTTGGTTTTCATTGGACGTTAAGCATACCACTGTGATGTTCTAGAATATGAGAGTTCACATCATCTTCAAACCTGGGAACATCAGTTGGTTACTTGATGCGCTTACAACAGTGTGTTAGAGCCAGATCCTGCAAAAGCCTGCATTAGCAGGTTTATTTCCGTGTATAAATGATTTTTCAACCATGAGGGGAGGTGTCAAGGGAACAGTGAATAACCTGTAGCGAGCAATGACCTGTGAACCGTAGAATCCTAAAGAAGTCAACTCCAGTAAGCAATGGAAATGGGAGCACTGGTGAGGCGTTGGGTCAAGTGTTCTGAATTATCTTCAGATGTCCAAAATGGTTCACATGAAGAATACTCCCTCCGATCTAGTCTGTGCTTAGAAGACACCTTACATAGTACTCCCTCCGTCTCATAATGTAAGAACGTTACAAATCAATCATTCTGCAGAACAGCAGTGCAGCAAGTATAGGAAGTTGGATTGACGTCCAGAGCGAATTAGTGACCGCTCTTGTCCAGTAGACAGATTACAGCCAGGGGCGGAGCTATGTAGGGGCAGACCTGGGCCATGGCCCGCCCAGGAATTTGACAAAAAAATATTTTACTACTAATCGTCTTAGCCCAGCCCACTAAGCCCAGCACGCACAGGCTATCCCCCATCGGCCGTCGTCTCCTCGACTCACGCACGCTGCACGCACAGGCTCACGCATGGCTTCCCCAATTGCCTGGCTTCCCCAATTGCTCATGCCCTCAGTCTCATACTCATGTAGCCACGCCGCCGTCGTGGACAGGGAACACGGTCCACCGGAGTGCGCCGCCCTCCGTCTCTCGGAGCAACCTCCGCGGCGACGCCCGCCTGGATCTCGCCTCGCCCCTGCCCTGCTCCCTTCCGCCGCCCATGATCCGCCGGAATCCAGCGTGCCGTGCGTGCTGCTGGCGATCCATTCCTGCAGTTGTTCTCCTCCATCTCCAAGTCTCCAAGTCTGGGGCATGACCTGGGCCAGCCCCTTCTCTTTCTATATTCTATCGCTAGCGCCCCCATGATTTGCCCCCTTGCCACACGTACACTTCACAGGTAAAAAAGTTCCCCCAAATTCTAAATTTGATAAGCAATAGCCTTATTTTTCTCATTTGTGTACACCCAGTGATTAGTCCTGCTAGTGATAAATAATAGCCTAATGATTTGATCATATGCAAATTTCAACATAGGTAGTCATGGGGAAGGAAAATCAGACTTAAAAAGAATTGATTTAGTTTTTAAAAGAAAAAGAGATTACATAACTGAAGTTGAGGATCATTAAGACAAGATTGTGCAATAAGATGGAAGATGAGAACCTGGCTAATAACTTGTTAGTTCACATAGAGGGTGAAATTTTAGAGAACTACAGCCCACGAAGATGTCATTGCAAGAATGATTGGAGAGTTGATTTCTATATGAGCAAGTCCATGTCTAATGTCTCGGCACTTTTGTATTAGCTAATTCAATAGTGACTCATGGTTGAACTGTACTTTGGTACATATATATTATATATGTACATATCTGCTAGCTCAATCTTATGACATGGGTCTTTGTAATATGTCCTTATGAGTCAGAATTTGGAAAAAAATGTGCTCTTCTTAAGTTTGGCCCGCCCAACTTTTTCGTTCAAGCTCCGCCACTGATTACAGCATTTCAATACATTCTTTCTAGAAGCAGCGAGGCAAATGCCGGGCAATGTGTGAGGGCGACGATAACACGCAGTTCTTCCACGCCAGTGCCTTGCGCCGTTTGGGTCCTGGACGTTGGCGCCTTGGTAGGGTGCAGGTTGTCACGGGAGCTCCTAATTGGCGCTTCAGGTGTGAGCTCGCCCGTTGGCGCTCACGGGCACTGGGCCGGCCCATCAAGCGCGAATTCCTGCTCGAATGCTCGGTCGCAGTTAGATCGCTCCTCTCGATTTCTTTTCTGCTCGCTCGTTCATTTTTCTGTTGACCAATGGTCAGTGAGACCATTTACTAATAAAGAAAGAAAACAAATTCCACAGTTTTAAAAAAGTTCAAGAATTTGGGAAATTTTATGAAAAATAAGTTCACCCCAATTTTAAGAAGTTCATCGATTTTTGGAAAAAATCAAAAAATTTGAAAAAAGTTCATAGAATTGGAAAAAAAGTTCATCATATTTTTAAAACTTAAGAAAATTTGAAAAAAGTTCATCTAATTTAATAAAATCTTCATCAATTTTGAAATAATAATCATAAATTAAAGAAAAAAACGCATTTAAGAAAACAAAAAAGTAAAAGAACAAGAATATAGGGTTGTTGCTGAAGACGTTCCTAAAAAAAGTTACTGGTCGCCAAATTATAGGATTGTTGCTGAAGATGTTCTTAATCATTATGCTATTTGTAAGCATCAACCAATCGAAAATCCTTTTTTTGTGTGGATATAACCAATCGAAAATCCTAGTCCTTCACATAGAATTTCAGCATGTCATGCCCATTTGAATTTGACAAAGAAAGATGGTACGTTGGGTATATGTTAAGGAAAAAGCAACCAGTCGGAGAAACTACGCGCAAATGAAATTCAAGAACCGAAGTTTGGGTCCCCTATACTCTCTACAGATCACAGCAATATTTGAACAAAATAAAGGAGGAAACACAGAACGCTGGCGCCTCAATTCGAGAATCGGCCTGCCACCCAAGCAATCGGCTCCTCTCGCCACGTCAGCGATCCGCGGCATCTCTCTCGCGGATCCCCATCATGACCGTCCACTGCATCCGCATCGAACGGCAGGCACGCGCCTCCTCCGACCTCTCGTCCCCGTTAAAATCCCCTTCGCCCCTTCTTCCAATCCCCGCACCAATCACCACCACTCCTCCAATCCGACAATTTCTCGCAGCTCGAACCAAGGCGAGTTCGTCGGCGACCATGTCCGGGCGCGGCAAGGGAGGCAAGGGGCTCGGCAAGGGCGGCGCCAAGCGCCACAGGAAGGTGCTCCGCGACAACATCCAGGGCATCACCAAGCCGGCGATCCGGCGCCTCGCTCGGAGGGGCGGCGTGAAGCGCATCTCGGGGCTCATCTACGAGGAGACCCGCGGCGTCCTCAAGATCTTCCTCGAGAACGTCATCCGCGACGCCGTCACCTACACCGAGCACGCACGCCGCAAGACCGTCACCGCCATGGACGTCGTCTACGCGCTCAAGCGCCAGGGCCGCACCCTCTACGGCTTCGGCGGATAGGCCCCTCGTGGTCGTCTTCGTTGCCCCCCTGCAGATTCCTAAAGCTCGATGAGAACCTGACTTGTTTAGTTCGCTATTTCCCCTGTAGTTCCAAGTGAATCATGAAACAAAGCTATTCGCATCTGGAGTTTGGAAATTGTACTTGTCTTTGTGCAAATAAACTGTTTGTGATTTTGTCTCGCTGGTTATCTCTGTCATGTATGATTGTTGTTTCTTCTCTGATGTTAAATTTTGTGCGCTTGGGAGTAAGATTTGTTTGCCATCCTCTTACAAGGACCAGGAACATCATCTGCTCTGTATCTGCTATTTCTTCTGATGCATTTGTATTAGGAACCATTTATAATCATTCCATGTTGCAACGATGTGTGTAATTGAGATTGGGTTTAGTCTGCATTTCATACATCGATTTCTGGATTGATTTGCTATGTCATTTACTCTGCAAATCATCATGCTGTTCTTGTTAATAAGAAATGTCACCTGCTCTGTTTCTGTTTTTTTTTTGTTACTATAGTAATACTTCATCTGATGCATTATACATTTTGGCAATGGCTGCAATAACTTAATCCTTCAGTTTTTTTACTAGCTTATCAGCATAATTCTCCATATTCATTTTGCTAATCTCATATGATGTACGACAGTAGGGAAGTTTGGTGAATTACTTCTGACTTGATGTGCTTACACCACTGCCTTACATGCTTTGAGACAAAATAACTCTGCAGTTCTTACTTGAGGCCTGCAAAAGTCTGTATCAACAGGTTTAAAAACAGTAGAGAACAATGACCTGTGAATCCTTGAATCCTAAAAAAGTGATCTCCAGTAGCGATGAAAAATGAGAATAACAGAATGCATTGCATTCAAGCAAGTTTCCTGTAGACTATCTTCATATCTCAAGAACAGTTTGGATGAAGGAATAATAATTTGTCATTGGAGGACATGCTACAGCAAGTTGAATTGATATATAAAAGAAGTCTGTTCCTTGCAGAATAACTGAAGACAACCATTGTCATTTTGATAGGCAAAATTCCATAGGCACATTACAATATTTCAATACATTCTTCCTTTGACACATTCCCAGGTTTGGACACCCTCCCACATGAACAATCTCAGGTCTTAGGAACACCTCTTATGAAACCGAACACTTGATACAAGGAGGAGATGACACAATAAAAACTGAAGGCAAGGTACACACACAAATGCTGAAGTGCACAATAAATGACCCTCTAATTTTGTAAAATAAATACAATCAGAATTTGACACTCCTGCTAAAATTATGCACAATCATATTGGTGGAGAGAAGTAACAAAAATCACTATCAAATATGGGCAACAAGAAGACTGAAATTTTATAGGTGGAGAAAAGGATGAAACAACAAAGGTGAGCATTGTTCCATGCACACCCACATGGATAATAAATTCGAAAACAATACTAGGAAAATTTTAGAACATCTGAAATTTTGAGGTATCAAACTTGGTTGACCATTCTACTGACATGTAAAATTTCGTGAAGTATTGACACCCGTGGTACTCTTAGTGAAGAAAATACAATTGAGACTTTACTATTCATCAAAGAGTGTTTTCTAACATAACTTCGATCTTGTCATTTTTGACCCAAATACCACTAAGGTCATCTCTTTGTGAAACTTCATACGCAATTATACCGGTCGACTATGCGTGTTATAAAATGTTTTCTAGTTTTTTTTTTGTTTTTTCTAGTTTTTTCCCCAAGTTTACTATGGCATGGAACCAAGTTCACCAAATCCGCGTCCAAGAAAAGGAGTATCAAGTTCTTGGTGTTGTGTTTACTTGATTCACATAATCCAGTACCAAGTAGCATAACTGTGCTTTTCAAGGTGTACACATCACATCTGTTTTGAACTTTAGATTGTTGTCATAGAGCAAGAGGAATTCCGAGTAGTCAGATGAGGACTGTACTACATTTAATCTTGATAGTAGGCGTTTCTCGTGCTTATAGGCGTAACCAGTATGATTGCAACACTCGCGGAAGTGCACCAGTGTCCGCTTTTTTGAAGAAAACCCCAAACCGACAGCTTAGTATTCTTCTTTATACCTTGCAGAAGTCTAAATTATGTCCTTTAATATTGATTCATGTGTAATCAGATGTCAAGATGTAAATATCAGCAGCCAATATTGTCCTGCAACTGGTTCTAAATTTTTTTTGTCCTGCAACTTAAACTAAAGTGTCCAGTTCATTTTCTTTTTTCGCAAAGCTTGCGTATCATTTTATTGATAATAGGGTAGAAGAAAGTACATGTTTGGTTACACCACACAGGATGATGGTGCCAATTCTGGAGGCGTCGGCTCTTTCCCAACATCGCGCGTCGTCCTGGATAGTTTGCAACACGCGAGTGGCGGATGGTCGAGATTTTTCGAAGATACAACCATTGCGGTGGCAAAGGTGTCAGGCCAAGAGTACGATGATCGAGGATAAACCTCGGCGCATGGAGGTTAGCGCTTGGGAGCAAGAAGACGCCCACAAGTCTACAAAGGGGGTCGTCAGACATGGGGGAGATGTCGTCGACTGACACCAAGCAAGAACTCATGTCAGTTTATTTGGCGCGAGCAAGGACATCCGACAATGAGGTGGTACATGGTTTCTAGCACCTGATCGTAAAAGGAGTACAAATGCTCGTGGGAGGCCACGCCGGGCTAAGCGGTCCGCCGTCCAGAAACAATCGAGAATGAATAGTTGATACGTTCATTTTGCATCATGTTTTTATGTTAATATTTATTGCATTATGGGCTGATTTTTCATTTTATGATACAATTCTTATGCCTTTTGTCTCTTATTTTGTAAGTTTCACATAAAGAGCGGGATTGCCGACAGCTGGAATTCTGGACCAAAAAGGGCTATCGAGGCATTTTTTCTCAACATTTCCAAATGAGCTGAAAATTGACGGAGAATTATTTTGAAATATATTAAAATTATTGGCGAAAGAAGTATCAGAGGGGGACCCACCAAGCAGCCACAAGCCTGCCCTGTGGGCCCACCCCCTGAGCTTGTGGTGAGCCTGGCAGGCCTCCGAGGCCCATCTTCACCTATATGATGCCATTTGCCCTGGAAAAAAAATCAGAAAAAAGGTTTCGGACGAAGCGTTGCCGTCTCGAGGCGGAACTTGGGCAGGAGCACTTTTACTCTCCGGTGGAGAGATTCCGCCGGGGAAACTTCCCTTCAGGAGGGGAAAATCGAAGCCATCGTCGTCACCAATGATCCTCTAATCATGGGAGGACCAATCTTCATCAACATGTTCACCAGCACCATCTCATCTCAAACCCTACTTCATCTCTTGTATTCAACCTTTGTCTCAAAATCTTAGATTGGCAACTGTGGGTTGCTAATGGTGTTGATTACATCTTGTAGTTGATGTTTGTTGGTTTATTTTGTGGAAGATCATATGTTCAGATCCATTATGCTATTCAATACCCCATGATCTTGAACATGAATATGTGTTATGAGTAGTTACATTTGTTCTTGAGGACATGAGAGAAATCTTGTCATAAGAAATCATGTGAATTTGGTATTCGTTCGATATTTTGATGATATGTATGTTGTTATTTCCCTTAGTAGTGTTATGTGAACGTCAACTACATGGCACTTCACCATCTTTGAGGCCTAAGAGAAAGCATTGCGGAGTAGTTGTTAGATGATGGGTTGCTAGAGTGACAGAAGGTTCAACCCTAGTTTATGCGCTGTTACAAATGGGCCGATTTGGATCTATATGTTTCATGCTATGGTTATGTAAGTGCATCTAGTGCCCCTTAGTGATTTTGGTGTATTGAAGACTTATAGGTTAAGGGACTAATGCGTGTGTGAGTGTACACAGGTCTATAAGTCTATGAGGAGTTTGATATTTACAGAAAAAGTCGACCCCTAAAAATGAATATCTTCGACTGAAGATTTTGTTATTTCTGAAGACTTTCATGAAGACTTTGAAAGTGAAGAAATTGGTGTGTCCGTGATGACTTGATATTCATGCGAGAAATATGAAGCTTGAAGACTTTCGTGTTCATAGTTTTGTTTTTCTCTTTCTTGAGTCGTAGGAAACACCGTACTGTTAAAGGGGCCGAGGAAATACTAAGGAAAAATTTCCATGTGATGCTCAACTCAAATCCTACACCTACCAATCCCTTCGAATGAAGCCATTGGAAATCTCATACAGTTCAGTCAATTTCTTCAGTGACAGAGACGAAGTTCTTCTGGTCTCTGAGGAATTTGTCCTGACTGAGGAGTTAGGAATTCGCTAGTGCGGATTGCCTACACAGTGAGGAACATGATAGCCCTGAGGATTTTGCTACTCAAAATTCCGACCGTTGCTGTGCTATGCGCCAACTGTCCCAAAATATCTATCCACCTAACGGTCATATCATTGAAGGGCATTTATGTCTTATCATGTCAGGCTATTCCCTAGGCTATAAATAGCCGCCCCCTAGAACCACTAGCTGGTTGGCTGCTCCGAGAGAAACTGACACTTGTCATTTGAGAGCAACCCATCCTCCGAGGACTTTGAGCGAAAATCATCAAGTGAGGAAAAACCAAAAACCCAAAATCCAAACACCTACAAACCCCAAGTGATTGAGCATCACTGAAGAGATTAATTCTGAGTGGATCCGGCGCTTGTTACCTTTGAAGACTATGCTTCTTCCAGACGGTTAGGCGTCATGGTCTAGAGCATCCAAGAGGAATTGTGGATCGCCGAGTGACCAAGTTTGTGAAGGTTTGGAAGTCGCCTGAAGACTTACCACGAGTGATTGGACGAGGTCTGTGTGACCTTAGTTCAAGGAGAATACGGTGAGGATTGGGTGTCTTGGACGAAGTGTCTTTGACTGGGTGTCTGGGACTGTATGTCCTCGAGTTTAAATACTCAGCCGCTCCAACCAGACGTACAACTGAGACAGCAGTTGGAACTGGTCTACCAAATCATTGTCTTCACCGAGCTTACTGGTTCTATTTTCTCAACTCTTTCATTTCCTCATAACTGTGTT